AGTTATTCTGTAGCTGGGCTGTAGGCAAGAGAACTAGGCTAACCAAATGATTTTTCCCTAGAATTATGTAGCATTGCTCCCAACAAGCCACCAAGGTGGACTCCAGGTCCCAACAGTAGTGGTGGCAGTGTGTGACAGGAGAGGACATGGAGAGGGTCAGGACGGCAAAAGCGATGGCAAGAATCACCTCTTGTCTCCCATTTAGACCTGCCTATATTCTGAGAATTGGATGCAGTTTCCAACATGAAGGGGAAGTTGTCCTACCTGTTGTTACCTATCTGGCATTTCTAGGCCCAACTGAAGAGTCATGGTTTTTTGTTTGTTTGTTTGTTTGTTTGTTTAACAAAAACCACTTTCATATTCTGGGCTTCTTCAAAAGTAACACAAATCCACCACTCCTATATAGTTCTGGAAATGTTAGCCACAGCAATTAGGCAAGAGAAAGAAATAAAAGGAATAAAAATAGGAAAGGAAGAACTTAAACTGTCGTTATTTGCTGACGATATGATACTCTACATAGAAGACCCAGAAAACCCTGCCAAAAGACTTCTAGACTTAATTGACAGATTCAGTAGAGTAGCTGGATACAAGGTCAACACTCAGAAAACAACAGCCTTCTTGTACACAAATAACAGACTCACTGAGAGAGAAAGTAGGGCAACAATTCCTTTCACAATAACACCCCAAAAAATGAAATATCTAGGAATCTAATAAAGGAAGCAAAAGACCTCTACACTGAAAACTACAGCACTCTGAAAAAAAAGATTGAAGAGGATATAAGAAAATAGACATCCCTTGCTCCTGGATAGGAAGAACCAGTATAGTGAAAATGGCCATACTTCCAAAACTGGTACATAGATTTAATGGAATGCCAATTGAAATTCCAACAATATATTTCACAGAATTACAGAAAACAGTCCAAAAATTGATTTGGAACCAGAAGAGACCTAGAATAGCAAAAGCAGTTCTAGACAACAGAGATATGGCGGGGGTATCACAATCCCCAACTTGAAACTATACTACAGAGCTACTGTGATAAAAACAGCATGGTACTGGCAAAGAAACAGTGGAATAGATTAGAAGATGCAGAAACAACTGCAGACATGCTCAGCCACGTCATCTTTGACAAAGGAGCCAACCATCCCCACTGGAGGAAAGATAGCCTCTTTAATAAATGGTGTTGGAAAAACTGGATTTCAACCTGCCAAAGATTAAAATTAGACCCATATCTATCACCATGCACTACAAAGTGGATTAAAGATCTAAATATTAAAATAGAAACACTAAACTTGCTGGAAGATAAGTTAGGTGGAACTCTTGAAGACATTGGGATAGGAAAAGACTTTATGAACAAAACCTCAATAGCATGGGAACTAGCACAAAGAATCAACTGGGATCTCATCTTATTAAAAAGCTTCTGCACTGCAAGAGAAACTACCAACAGAGCTAAGAGACAACCTACAATGTGGGAAAAAATTTTAGCAGCTGTACCTGAGACCAAGGACTACTATGTAGACTATATAAAGAACTTTAAAAAATCAGACCCCCCCAGATTCAAAGACCCAATTCAAAAATGTGTATCTGAAATGAACAGACATTTCTCAGACAAGTAAAAGCTGCAATTAAACATATGAAAAAAATGTTCAACATCACTAGTAAGAATGGCTGCTATCAAGAAATCAATAACAATCATACCACAGCGATGTATGTGCACCCATGTGTATAGTGGCACAGTTTGTAATAGCTAAAG